TGTGCGTGTGTGTGTGTGTGTGTGTGTCTGTGTGTGTGTGCGTGCGTGCGTGCATGTGTGTGTGTGTGTGTGCGTGTTACCTGGTGTGTGGGGCGTCTGACCCACAGCAGATGTCCACCTGTACTCTTCACTCCAGTCGCTCCACACAGCATTGGGCAGTTTACTCTCTTGATACTTGACTCTCACCCTGATCACGTACTGCTGATTTAACAGCAAATGGTCCTCTGGCAGCTCCAATTGAGTTTCTGTAGTATTTACGGTAAAATTTTCCACATCCTACACAGACATTGACAGAATGAAGTATTTCTGCAGTGATGAATGCTGACAGAGTCACAGTGAGACGGTTCTGAATCTGCCTTCAGATGCACATCATCTAAACATCCTACAGTTTGTTTTACAATCACTTACACACTAAAAGTACTCGAGACACACTCCTAGTAATGCCTCCTCAAACCAAGTCAGCAAAACTGCAAGCACATTATCAGTTTGCAACTGTGAAACGAAATTTTAGCAGAACACTGAACACTTTTCTCCACATTAGACACCACATTCATTTACTGATCACCTACACTTACAGCTCTTTCCTTCACAACAGTTTGAGAAAGAAAGATATTATTTCCACCCTTTGTATCTATCGCTGAATATGCTGTATACAGTATTTATGAGCACACTGAACATGCACAAGTTAGTGTGGCTTATTTTCTCTAAACTCTACAACATCACACATCTCTTGCATCTTGCAACTCACAGTTTCATAAATCATGTATAAGCAATTGTCAAAAACTTTTTTTGTCATGGAAAAAAAGAGGTTGACATGAGAGAGGTTGATATGCTCACCTTCCAGCTCTGAGCAGCAGATCTGTACTGGACCCCAAACTCAGGCTTTAAATATTTTTTTGAAGGAACAAAAATCCAAGAAACATTGATCCCGTGAACTTCCACTGTCTCAGGAGGAGCCACTTTCACTGCTGCACACACAAACACATCATAATCGCTCAAGCAAACAGTTATCAGTGCTGATCAATAGGTCAGATTGAAGCCAGAACAGAAGCCGTGACAAAGATTCTCTCGTTAACTCATGAACTCTTCATTTACACTAATGGACTCCTGCTTCACATGTGTAAATATCAGTGACTGATACACAGCCCTTCTCCAATCACACGCTCTCTAGCTTCTGTTCCAGACTGTGTGAGTTATTATATTTGACTCACCACTGTCTTCTGCATCATGTTGTGCTATTTCAGCCAAAGGATTTGCGTAGTTGTCACAACGGACTTCTTCATGTAATCCGGTCCCTGATGTTATTATACCTCGCTGCAGCAGAAGAGAAAGAAATAATCTCGTCATATGTTCGTTTGGTTTACTACTCAATGAATCTGCAGAATCTGTCAGTCACCTTGCTTTTAAAAACCACGGTGGCAGAGCGTACATGAGGCTGTGCCGGGTCTGCAAACATCTGCGCCTTCTCTGGAATCGGATCTCTAAAATCAAAGAAAGTTCAGAATTTCACATATAAAAATGAAGCACATACCCATTAGGTTTTATTAAATTTTTCTAGATTGACCTCACAAACTAACCAACAAATGAATTAGTAGAATTAAGAGAAAGGAACGTGAAAACTGAAAACTGTTCTACGTTCATTAGTTCTGGATCCTGTACAATATGAAGGCTGATTTAATCACAAGCTAAATACGTTATGAAGTCACATTTTTCCTTACAGCTTCGTAACCGTTACATGAATCCAGCAGACGGTCTCGGGTTGGACCGGAGGGATCACGTCCAGTCTTGAGGTGTTCCAAACACATGTGAAGGTGTTGTGGTAATCATTATGACACGTTAAACCTGGAGAAAGAGCAACATCTGAGCAATTCAACCTAACAATAAAGGTTGCAAAAGGGTGTTTTCGCAGTGATACCACAGATTAACCATTTTTAGTTCCCCATAGAACCCTACAGTAAACAGTTCATAAAAATAACCATCTTTATTTTATTAATCCAAAGAAACTTTTTTCTATTTTAAAGAACCTTTTTTGCTATGCAAAGTTTTTTGGATGTTAATGGTGCCATCAATGCTAATTGAGAACCTTTATTTTTAAGTGAAAAACACATTTTCACAACGTGTGTTAGACCCTATACCCACCAATCTATTAAAAGAGATCGATCTTAACAAATCATACCTATCTTACTGTTATTAAGTAGTAGCAGTAATGAACAGGTGCCTTCTTCTCGTTCTATCTATCTATCTTCTCGTTCTCTGTGTTCTTGTCGCTGAAGGTTTACCGCACATCTGAGGGGCTGCACCGGTTTTTTCTCTCACGTCAGTGTGAGTCGGAGCAGAAACAGATGTTCTCATTTCACTCTTTCAGAAAAACAAAACTCCACCAGTAGCTGAATGATTAGTCCGTGTCAGTTAACGCTGATATCAGATGATGTGATTTCCAGATAAGAGATCCATTATTCAGAACACCTCTCATTTGTTTCCTCTGTTTAAACTGTGAAGCCGACAAGCCTCTTCTCACGTATATGCTGCTATCCTGACATTTAGATGGAGAATAATGTATAAAGAGAGCAGCACAGGCACAACACTGATCTAATACCTGCAACACCTGCTCATCTGATCCCATCAGCTACGGCACAACGGCTCCCAGCATCATTACAATACTCTGCTATCACCCTTAATGTGTTTTACCCTTACCTTGATACCTGCTCTTCTTCCAGTGAATGAATCTAATACAGCTAATGTGTTTGTTCCCTCTCTAGTGCTCACATCGGAGCATCTGACACATATGTATCACTCATGCCATCTCAGCCTTCCTGACACATTTCCTTTCAATGGCATCGCTTTTCCCAAAATACATTTGAGTAGAAGCATTGCATCAGTTATGACATCATTCATCATCAGTCACATTACACCTTCATGAAATCTGTCGATATGAGAAGAAACGCATGAGCTGTAATCTTCTGCAGAGCTGATTTCAGCTGAATCACATCATGTAACCCAATCAACACTGAACTAAAACTACACATTCCGAACAATCATCATTTGACGCAGTGTATTGGTAGTTAGTATGCTACAGTTTAAGAAAAGGGCACAATACTGAAGGAATTTTCCATATTAATTTTTCACAGGTATTTTAAATTACGCACTGTATTTTGTGTTTTAGGTTTACAGGAAATATCTGTAAACTTAACATAATATCCCGCCAGAAAATGATCAGTACCTTTTCTGCTTTTCTTGCAGTGTACCTAACTGATCAACAATAATAAGAACAAACTGTGTATCATAACTGAAAGAAATATTATTGAACTATTGCAGCTAGCAGCTTGATTCACGTGATACACCTCTATACTGCTGGGCACTTCTCTCCAACGCACTACAGACGGACTTTCTGTGTAATTTAGAGGGAAAAATCATGCCTTTGTATCATTTTATTCACTTATTCACAAAAGTTGCCAAATAAATGTAAAAAAAATTCAAAAAGTTGCAATGGAAGTCTGAAAAGTTGCTAAATCTAGCAACAAAATGCTGGAGGCGTTTTTCACAAAGTCACGCTAAAACATTCATAAGAGCACTAGACAAAGATCTTATCATATATCAATGCTTACTAATGAAAACTATCATAGTCTTTAGTATTGTTGCATGAATAATAAAGAATAATAAAATGATCCACCCCTAAACTAAAGTATTAACAAATTTGAATGCAACAAATCAGGTCTAATTTAACAATGCCCACCCCAAACAAAAACATCTACATGCCTATATATGTTTATATGTATAATGAGTTGCATTTGTTGGCGTTATTAAAGCACAATCCCTGACCTCATTTTCAAACCCTGCTTACAGCCACATTTACAGCACAACAGCTAAGTTTCCATAATTGGTTCTGTTATGTTCCTGTTTATCACTGTGAAGCTGCTATGACACCCTCTGTTTTGTGAAAAGCGCTACAGAAATAAAGGTGATGTAGCCCAGAAGATAAAATAAGAAATCATCCGATGCCTGTTTCTTATATTTTTAAATCCTCTGACCATTACTACTCCTCAACCAGTCGGTAAAGACTACCTTAAAAGGTAAAGCTGAAAACCACACTGAAGGATTCCAAGAAGAGATGAAATGTGACCCTGGAGCACAAAACCAGTCGTAAGGGTATAAATTGAGATTTATGCATCATCTGAAAGTTGAATAAATGAGCTCCATTGATGTATGGTTTGTTAGGATAGGACCATATTTGGTCGAGATACAACTATTTGAAAATCTGGAATCTGAGGGTGCAAAAAAATCGAAATATTGAGAAAATCATCTTTAAAGTTGTCCAAATTAAGTTCTTAGCAATTCATATTACTAATCAAACATTAAGTTTTGATATATTTACGGTAGATTTACAAAATATCTTCATGGAACATGATCTTTACTTAATATCCTAATGATTTTTGGCATAAAAGAGAAATGTATAATTGTGATCCATACAATGTATTGTTGGCTATTACTACAGATATCCCCCAGCGACTCAACACTGCTTTTGTGCTCCAGGCTCACAGATGGTATAGTGTGTGAAATGGTGAGCTGAACTAGTTGATGTCTATTTCATAGGAACACCCTGCAGTGAAACTATAACAGCAATGTTAGTTATAGATACAGCACAGAATGATCTTGCATTGATATATGATGCAACTGAATCCTACAAATCAGGGTTCATCAGCATTGCACATTTTCAAAAGTCTCATTTCTGAGTTATTTCATCACATTATAATCTTCAAATGACACATCAACCAAGTGTGATTTATGCTTTCTAATAGTAGGAATAATGCAGCTCTCCCTTCAGTGCAATGAAGCCCAAAACAACCAAACTACAAAACAGTTTTCTAATTAATTAAACTTTTAACATTTTGAACTTTCGTGTTTTAGGGTTCACGGAAATGTCTGTAAAATTACTGGATAATGTCCCGACATACAATTAGCAATTCATTTTCTGTATTTATGTGTTTGTTTATTTTGCCAGATCAGATCTTAAAACCAATTGGAATTATTTTAATCTATTACATCAAAGCCATTAAACGGGTCATATGATGTGATTTCAATGTTTCTTTCTCTTTGGAGTGTTACAAGCTCTTGGTGCATAAAGAAGATCTGTAAAGCTGCAAAGACTAAAGTCTCAAATCCAAAGAGATATTCTTTATAAAAGTTAAGAGTCAGCCACACCCCCCTAAACCGGCTCGTTCTAACACGCCCCCACATGTCTACGTCACTATGTGGGAAGATTTGCATAACGCCACCCAAATGTTCACGCAAAGAAAGAAGGCGTAACTTTTATTCTCGCTGTAGTATTGTTGCTGCCGCCGCCATGTCCTGAAGACGCTGTGTGCTTCGTTGTGAAAGCGAAACTACTTTGTTTGGTCTTCCAAAAGAGGACGATATCTGCTTCGTCGTGCCTGGAGCTGATCCGTGCTGGTCGCTGAGGAAATACATCAACTTCGCTGTGGATCACCAGATCGGCTTTCACCGTGGACGAAGCGGAGTCCAGCCCGGGGTCGTCACATGTGGTTGCCGCACGCCACCGGCCGCACCGTTCTTAAGCCCACCCGCCGCTCACTCCAGCCCCCGGTCTCTACTCACTCAAGCCCGCCGTGTGTGACGCTGTTTCGTTGTGAAAGCGAAACTACTTTGTTTGGTCTTCCAAAAGAGGACACGACTAGAAATCAGTGGTTAAGTTGTATTTACAACACTGTTCCAGAACACACACACACACACACACTCTCTCTCTCACACACACTCTCACACACACACACACACACACTCACACACAGAGTGTTTTTACGAGAAAAGAGGCGCTACATCCTCCATCAGTCACTCACACCTCTGCTGTCACATCCTTCTCTCTGTCCTCTGCTGTTTTCCATCCTCTAATCAAACACCATCATCATCATCATCATCATCATCTGTCCATCAGTCTGCGGCTGCAGCGCTTCTCTTCAGTAAATCATCTATATTTCTCCTGAGAAACCATCTGTCCTGAGCCTTTAAGCGAGCGCTGAGAGCCGATGTAAGGGATGCACTGACCTGCTGTCTCCATCTCACCACAGCCGAATTTCAGATCACTGATTTACTCCAGCTTTCCGAGATAAAGGGTTTCCTTTTTCATTCTGTGTATCTATTTTCGTTTGAAGAGAATAAAGGGTAAACTCCTTGCGGTCTGTTTCTCGCTTCTGTAGAAACCACGTCTACTTCTCTCAGAAGAGCCTCTCTAAAAACCCCCCGCGGGTTTCTTCCTTAAAATCTCCAGCAGACACTCGAAAACACGCCATGCAGGCTTTTTATGGCAGTCGCTGACGTTATTTAGCTAAATATTTATAACACAAGAGGTTGTTACAGTAACGGGCCGGAAACTAAGTTATCTAATATATTTTCTAATAGTAGTAAAACTAGTACCACTTTATGGTGACTTTCAGTAATTACAATTACAATCATTTTACATTGTAAGATCAAACATTATGAGCTTTAAAATAAAGAAAGAAACGAAAGAAAGAAAGGTTATTATGTTCAGCTACCTTCAGGTCTGAATACATGGACACAGTGTTACCTGAAGACCAACAAAGCAAAGCACACACGAGTCCATTTATCGCGGATTGAGAGTATCTGGCGCCCCCTGCTGACACACCATCAGTGTTGTGGAGGAACCAGTTACATGTAACAGAATTACTTAAAGTCCGCATGAAAGCAAAATTGACTGTATTTACTTTCCTAGCGCACATAGCTAGTCTTGATGTGAACAATTAATCCGTGCAAGTTAATCCGCTGAAAAAAATAGTTTGTCTCGGAAATCTTTAATCAAAATCTGAACACTTGCTTCCCTGATGACGTCAGTTTGACGGCTTGGGCAGTCTGGGGCAGAATATCGTTGACCACGCCCAGAGAGGAGGGGCGCAAAAATAAAACCACGCCCTCTATTCAATATTCCGTTTCAGCTGGAAACACGTCACTACACTGAAATAAAGTAACTTCCGTTTCCTGCGGCCTTTAATTTAATTGCAAAACAAATGTAACTGTAATCTGTTACAGTTACTGAGACAAAATATGCAATTAAATTACAGTCACACATAGGCTACAGATTTGATTTCTTTCCCTAATTTTTTTATCGGCTTCTCTAAAATATGAGACACCAATGTTTCAGGAGTTTAGGACACAGAATAGGACACATGCTTATTCAATAACTATGTCATTTCCTATTTGGGTTTATGTGTTAGCTTTATTTTTTCCAAGGCATTAGATGCCAGTGTCTTCTGATTTCAGAAAAGCAGTATCATAGCTATTAAACTAGATCTTGTTGAGATTTTAAATCAGTATTTAACCTCATA